CGGAAGATGCACACCAGCACTGAGCTGACTATTGAGCCAGAGGCACCCTCAGAGAAAAATGGCATCAGCTTCTCAGGCTTCGCGAACGAGCAGCTGGACTTCAATGACGAAGGCGACGTTATTAGTGCACTAAGTTACATATTGCCTTACTTCTCAGAGGGAAATCTAGAAGATGTAGAATCGACGTTATTACTGTTGATTAAACTGCTTTTTTCAAACATACAACATGGAGACAAGCCCCTGAGTCATCTGAAAAACAATACAAAGACCCCCTCTCTTGAACCTGCAGCCAATAATTCAACTTACACAAATAAACTGAGGAAACTCTATTTTCTGGAAAATTTGTTAGATGCAGAAATTCAAGAATAAATCAATGAGGTTAAAAAGAAAGAAAAAACAGCCATGCTTATGCAGTCTAGACTTCTGGTCCGAAATTGAAACGCCAAATCTTTCCCCAAAAATTGGAAACTGCTGAACCACAGGAAAACAGCCTGGCAGAGATTGAGGGTGTAGGGAAAAGGCGGCAGAGGATGAAGATAGTCCTCAAGGGGCCCAAGGGCATAAGGAAAAAGCTCTTTGAAGAGGAGACAATCAGGAGGAAGCAGAATGCCTGGCCCATTGCAAAGAAAATTGCCGAAGCGAGAAGGCTTGGGAGACCAGTCCCGAGTCAACTGGAACAGCTTCACGCGGTGCAGAGGCCCAAGAAGTTTGTGGGAAGCTCCTTCCACACCACACCTTCGTTAACAGAGGAGCACAAGGTAGCTGTCTCTTCTTTACTGAAACGGGTCTCAGTGGGCGTGCCTTCTGCTCCCACCACTGCAAAACCCCCACCTAAGGTCAAAAACAAATCAAAAGACTTGGCTGACACCATTGTTGTTTTAGAAGACACAAATGCTAGAGTTAAAAGTATGGAGGCTGCTAAGCCAATTGTACATTCCAGAAAAAAATACCACTTTCATAAAACTCATTCCCACGTGGCCCATAGAACACTCAAGACCAAACTAATTCAAGAGGTCAAAAAGGAAAGTTTGCTCAAAAGACTGATATTTGCAAACAGGCCTCCATTCTCTCCAATAAGGAGCCTCATAAATTCCCCTTCACGTGAAGCTTTTTCATCTTCAGGAGACCCGAGTCCGCAGGAGAATGCTTTTCCAGAATTATTTGCTCTTTCAGAACTTTCTACAGAAAACACTGGTACATCCCCTGAAGGAAATACTTTTGAAGAAAACATCTCTGTAGAAAGCACTGC